AGGTCCCTTCCAACCCTACAAACTATGAAACTATGAAACCTAAAACACTGGGTTTCCCCCACCATGACTCTTCAGAAAGTAGGGACTGAAGACATATATTCTAAACTAATCAGAAGCAAGCAGATAGTTCATCTCCAATATCAATTTTATAGATACGAAGAGCCAAGCTTAAACCTGAACTTTGCAACTACATGTCAAGCAGAAGTTTAATTCACCTGGATATGTATGTGGAATAAGCATCCCAGCAGCTACATCACTTGTTGTGTTGGGGGTAAACTCATCCGAAATTATAGTCACAGAACATGTGGGGATAGTTTCTGAAATGCATACTGCTGTGGAGAGGCCAATCAAGCCAGCACCAATAACAGCAATCCTTGGCTTAGACATTGACTGTAAGGAAAGGGAGGGGAAAAAAAAAGAGATTCCACAGGTTACTTAAAACATTCATGTTGGTTGTGGAGTCTTTAAATACTTTGCTATGAATTTCAGCTATATCCTGTAAACAAGATACAAAAAGGCTGGATTTTAAGAACCTTTTTCAGGTGAATAGTCCCACAGGACTGTGGCTACCCCTGTGTGCATAAGATTACACCCATATTTTTTGAGAAAAGAGACATCACGTAATTAATACCACTGCGATAAGCTTCCGAAGTAGAGTCACACAAAAAACTGATCTCACAAACCATAATGAGATCCACTTTCTTAGAAAGTTGCCTTTGTGCCAAGAACCAAGAATGACAAGATTGGCACCAGCATCAGAGTTAAACATAACTCATTTTGAGAAATATTTCAGACTCAAAAGCAAACCATAAGCTGTCTTGCACTTGGAAAGTGGCGAGGAGAAGATCTTTAGGTACAGCAGCTGTGCTCCATCTTTAGTGATATTGGGTGGGGTTTGCCAAGACACCTGATAGAGTTGGGCTCTAAAGGGACTTTCAGTGGCTGTTTAGTGCCAAGCCATTCCATGGGGGCTCTTGAAAATTTTGTTCTTTGTGACAAGGTGAAACAGTAAAAATGGAATCTGAATATTTTAAAGCACTAACATCTATAGTAATTAAAGCAAGCAAAGGATTGAATAATGAAAGCAAACCACACTACAAACAAATCAGTTACACAGAGTAGGGGTTCAAGTGTAAGATGGAAAATGGCTTTGTTTAGCATTTATTTTAGTTCATCCCCTGTGAAAAGCTTGTCCTCCTCAATATCACAAAATGAGACTGCCTGCTGATTTTTGTCCCAGAAAATACAGATGTCACCATTCAAGGTGATACACACTGTTGCAGGGTAGAGAATAGCTCCTTTTGTCAAATGATTTCTTGTGGAGTGCTTTTGGTGTCTCGATTACGCCTCATATGGGGCACCTCTGGAGGCAAAATCCTTTTGTGCTTTGGCATATTTAAGGACACATTTGTGGCCCTAGGTTTAGAGTGATGATAATGGCTCTAGCTCATAGCCAGGGTAGGCAGGACAGTTTTCTAAACTAGGCTGAGGGTGAACAACAGCTCCTCCTCTGTACCTGGGTGTTCTGAGCACCCACAGCTCCTGTCAACTTCAGTAAAAACCACACCTCCTGAACTTTGCACAAATGAATCAAGGGAAAGTCCAGAGAGCCAAGAAAAACAAGTGCCCCTTGAGAAGTTGAGTGCATGAACTTCCCTTGCTCTGACTTGATTTTTAAAATGCTTGGCTTCTTCAAAGAGTCTACATTTAATTGTTTTTAGCTAATATTTACAAGAGAAGCAGATTTTTTTTTCCCTTTCTTGTTCTGTTAAAGCATCTGATCCCTGCACCTGGCCAGCTCGTATCTAGCTGTGTCTAGCTGATAATTACCAGGTTTTAGCTCTTTCCATAATCCCAGGAGTCTAAAATTTGCCACCCCCTCCTAGAAGTTACCTCTAAAGCCAGGTGATAGTTTTGATCATACATTCAGTGGCAAAAATCCAACTGTAGTCCCTTGATCTTGCTCTTCCCTTTTGGAAAACAGCATTTGCAGAATTGAGCTATGAGCATATAAAGAATTCTTACTTCATGTTAAATTAGATTTTAGGCATTGTTTATTTCCTTTGTTGAGGCAATGCAAGTAATACAAACTTTGGGTGAACCTGCTTGTTTAGTTCATCACAGCTAATAACAGCTCAGGCAGCTCTCTTCTTCCCCTCCCACCCCCTTTTTTTGTTATATAATATTTATGTAGGATCACTGCTGATTTTTTTAGGCTAGATCCGCCTGGCTGCTTTGCAGGCATGCAAGAAACTCCTCCCCTCCATTGCAGCTGTCTTGTAGAGCAGCTGGGCACAGCTGCAACCTTTGTTGCTAAACTCCTTTTTCATTTTTAATATTTTTTCTCTTCTACTTTATGAACTAGCCAGGGAGGAGTACCCAGGGGTGGGGGAGGGGGGCAGGTGGTGAACAATATTTTTAAAGAAGTAACTCAGAGGAGTAGCAATGAAGCATCACTACCAGGATCTGTGCAGCAGAGTAGTGGTAGGGGCCAAGCCAACTGCTGTAGCAGTGGTGGAGAGGCTGGCAGCAACCGTGATTACCACTGTTGCACTCCCTCTAAGTAGGCCCCACAGCTGAAGTCCCAGTCACCCACCCCTAGTTATGCTACTGATGAAGCCAGAATCCACTTTTAAATCATTACTTCAAACCTCAAATTTGGAAAATTCTGATCTAGACCTAAACTCAGTGGCTCAGTGCCACCTTCACCTCAAACTGCCAGGTTTCTGGATTAGTAGGAACTAGAGATGGTTGGAAAAAAAAAAAAAACAAAAAACAGAAAAGCAATTTCTCCCTTACAATTTGCAGAATTTCACAGTTGCCTCATTTTGCAGGGTTCAAAATGGACCTGGCTTCCAATTTCTGTTGTATGTTCCAAAACGTTTTTCATAGAATTTTTTGTTAAAATCATTTTCTGAAATTATTCCTTGGCCACAATCCCAGCTTTCAGCATGTTTTGGTAACAGAAACATTTAAATAACTATTTCAAAAATACATTCAATAAAAATGTTGGCAAAAATATCATTATGATGTTAATGAAGTTGCCTTTTTACAAACAGGTTTGATTTTTATAAAAGTCTTCTTTAATTAATGTTTTCATGCAAAAATCTCTACCAGCCTGAGTGGACACCTTGTTGTCAGCAACCTCAAAGAGCATCTGGGACCTTCACAAAATGGGTGGCTCTCCTGGATCCCTCTTCTTCAGTAGCCCTCAACACATTCTTGGTATGGACCCATTATCCACCAGCCAAGGAATTGTTCTCGATTCCCCCTCTACAGTCCTGTCTGACATTTTATTGGTGCAACTGGCCATGGCAGAGAATGAATTTTCTTACTGACCTCTGTAGCAGGGGCAGAAAGATGAAAGAGACAGCTCAGCAAAGGCTCTAGTTTCATCACAAATCATCCTCAGACAATCCTTATTGCAAAGGAGCTGGTTTAACCTAAATTGACACCAGCTTGGCAAAAGCCTGCTGCAGCCACCCACTGAGTCATGTCCATTTGCAGGAGTCCTGCAGAGAAGGCAGCAAACACTACCTGCCCTGCTGCGGTGTCTACATTCCTCACACACACACCCTAGGTCCATGTGCACCACTGAATTAACCTCTGAAGGCAAACTGCTTGAATGTGACAAGCAGTTCTGTGCCTCACCATTGCAGTGTATGAAAGCATTAAGACTCTGTTCACCAAATCAAGCCTAATACAAGGCCAAGCCGGTACAATTTATTGACTTCAGGGAGTAAGGCTCTTACTCTGCAGGATAAAAAAAGGGCACACAATCAGAGCCAGAAAGAAGCATACATACTTGAATATGCAAGACAAGTCCGTATTCTACAGCACACACTGCCCATGCAGGGGGCTGGGGACATACCGAGCAAACGACATGTTTAGCACAGCAGGGGCAGATTATTTTTAGCTGATGTGGTAGGCAAGTAACTGTTCTGTGTCAGTTAGAGTGATGCTTCTCACCTGTTGAGACCTGCTGGCATTGCAGAAATCAGGATTTAGAGGTGAAATAAGTACCCAGTGGAACAGTCAATTTAGCTGCTTTTACTGTTGACAAACAGAATGGGGCAAAACCTAAACAACAGGAACAAAGCCCAGCTGATTAGCCTCAAGCTCATGCATTCAAAAGGAACATGGTCTTTGTTGTAAGGCTGGTTTCCTGCTCTCTGACCTCAGCTGGAGGGAGCATATGAAGTCCAGTCTGATCAATTAATATACATCTGTCAGGCAAGCCATGGGGCAGAAGTAGAGTTACCAAGTCATTAAACTTTATCATGAGTCCCATGATATTTAGTAGTTGTCTGCTTGCCTCAAATAAGAGATTCTCAGTCATGGTGCTGTGGCACCCTAGGATGCCTTGAGATCCTTTAAGGAGTGCTGCCGTGCTATGCAATGTTAGCTGTGTTCCTACACTGTTAGGTGTACCATAATGATTCACAAAACAAACCCAGAGATTTCAAATAGGAATCCATAATGTTAAAAGTATTCTGACCTGTTGTAGTGTTTTTGAGTTCTTTGCAACATAAGAATTGCTCTATTCTTTTTCTGTAGTCAAAAATCCAGTGAAACCAAGAACCTACATTTTATGCCTTGAGTCTAAAAAGGTTGGGAACCACGACCTTAGTGGAAAAAAGGTTACCTATACATATGCTCGGAGTTGTGGGAGGGCGCATTATAATTAGAGCAGTTTCTGAGCAGCCACTCTAATTAAAATGCCACAGTGTCACATGTATTAATCCCCCACACATTTAAAAATGGCTGCAGGATGCTTTATCTAAACTTCATTCAATGAGGTTTAGTTAAAGTGCCCCATGGCCATTTTTAAATTCACAGGGGCTTACCACTGCAGCGTTCTAATTAGAACATATTGGAGCACGTGCATAGGCAGCCAAAGAGACTGCAGGAAAATCATAGCTTTCTTATTTCTCAAGTACGTTTAGGCCCTCAGAGCCAGGGAGAAAAGTTTGTAAACATGAAGGGAGTCCTGCACCCTGAAGGCTTGGAAAATACAAGGCATACTAAAAGAACTGAACTTTTAAAAGTCCTTACAATATCTTGGGATGTGACAAATGTTTTTTGAACCTTAACGGCTGGCGGTATTGAGGAGGTCTTTATCTCTTGGAGTCATGTAAGATCCCATACCAGTCTCTGCAAGTATAGGCGGATCTGCCATTTCAGATCACTGGATAACTTACCAATATTACATCATTTCAAATGGTTACATTGCTTTTCATTCCTTCCTTATGCAGCTGTTTAGCACAGCTGTGTGCTGTTAAACATTGATGGGTCTCCAGCCTGGACTGCTGCCATGTTCTAGGGGTGGGTGAAATGATTCATGTGGCTGTATGTACATAAACACTACACATATACACGTACACATTCTACTTTATGCTCACACAAGATTTGACCTGGACTGGCTATTAATGGTTTGGTAACCTGACATAGATATATTTTTCAAGATGCCTATCTTGTGCTCAGACAATGCGTAGGGGGTGCATGTGCACCCCCTGAGATTGGCAGTGCATCCCGTGAGATGTGTTGCTGCCAACACTGCCGGCAGTCGTCATGCACCTTCCAGCCTTGGGAGGCATGTGACGTTCATGGCTCAGGTAGAGATTAACTGTTCAAACGTGTTCATGAATGTGGTTCCAAGACACTGAACATCTTTCAGTTCCAAGAAAAAAACATCTTTCATTAAGCCAAAACCCTTGAGGTGACTTTCCCTTGTTCATGGGGCTCATGTGAAAAGGCTTCCGACCTCAAGGGGCAGTGCCCGGGAGACAAGAAGGGGTGGTGGCCCCTGAGCAATTGGCTGCCTGAAGCATTCATCCCTTCTGCTCCCTTTTTATTCCTGACCCCATCTTTAACCCTACTTACCCTACCCTTTGCTGTGACAGACCTTTCCTGGATGTGTTTCTACAGGCTGGTCTCTTCTGTCCTATGGTTTTCCCTGTCACATATTTAGAAAAGGGACGTGGTTAGCCCTCAGGGTTGCACAAAAAGAAAGTTTGAAAAATGTAAGCTGAAGGACTGCTAACCTGAAGGTAAATAAAAAGCCCCCAGATGCATAGTTTTTTTAATCTCACAATTTAAAACAAACCTCATGATATTTTGGGGTCAGACTCATGGTTTTGTCAATACTGGGTGCCAAAATCAGTGTTTGTGTTGTTCATATTTATTGAGGCTTCAGCCTTCCCTGGGACTCTCCCACTTTTGGTATAAACACAAGGATACCCTCTAGGCCTTCCATTTCCATTTTGAAATGAACTCCTCCTCATTTTTTTTTGTATATTTGTTGTGCTCATTCTTTCCACCTTCCTTAGTGAAGGCAAATGATTTACAAATATTTTCAATTCCCCTCCCATTGCACCAACTAAGGAGCTGGCCGGGGTTTGCCATCCTTCTGAGTTTGCAGAAGTACAGAAGCTGGCAAAGTGCAATTCAGTCCCTGGGATTATCAAATAAGGGTTAGGAGCAGGTTTGACTTGAACATTTTCCTTTTCTCTTATTTATACCATTTCAGAAGAGATGAATTTCTGACAAATCACAAAGAAATGATCAAAGATTCACCTTCCACTAACACTGAACATAAACTTTTACTAAAAGAAGAATGTATTATTACAAAAGCTAATTTCTCTCACTCCCCCCTCCCCCCCCCCGGCCTTTACTGGGTCTGTGATCTTAGGTACTTATATGCCCCCCAATAAATATTTCAGCACTTCACAATCTTTATGTTTATCCTCAGAAAACCTGCAGACAATATGAAAAGTACCTCATTACCCATTTATTTTGCAGATAGTGAGATAGAGAGAGATGTGGGTTCAGATTTTAGAGGTACTCAAATGCTTCTAACCATCTCACTAGGGCCCTAAATACTTTTAAAATCTGGCCATAAGAGCGAGATCCAAAGAGGCACTTTGGGCACCTAAAACAGATTCTAACTTCCTGCATCTAAAAACATAGCCCAGAAATCCCACCCCCATTCAGGAGCTCAGTGCATTTTGAGCCACATTTTGAACTGAGCTCTTGGTGCCCTTCAACCTAAGGGGAACTGCACCTACATCTGCTACTTTTCTGGAATGTGCTCTGACCACAAGGCTATAGTATAGGCTAAAAAGGGAATCCCTGCCACCCATCCACTGAAGCTGAGCAGATGGAGGTGCCTCATGTGCAGCCCTGAGAGAGGCACCTAAACCAGGGAGCTGGGAGGGGGTTCAGATGCTTGCTATTCTCCCTGGCTGCCACTAGCAACATGCAACATCTCTGAATTGCCTTTTGAGGTGCCTAGTGCTTCCCTTTGGCAGTACAGGGGGCTGGGCACCCAGCCTTGCTTGTTTGAATCTTGCTTGTTTTTTGGGCCAGGTGCCTAATCTGATGAGGCATTTCTGCACCCATGCTGGAGTCACCTAAAGTGTCTCTCTGGCTCTTGCCCTAAGTGACTTAACTAATGTCACCTAGGAAACCTGTGGCAGAGCAAGGAACTGAATGCACTTCCCAAGTTAGTGCTCCAGTCACTGGGTTGTCCATCTTCCCTCCTATAGAGCTTCTGCCTAGGA